CAGTTTGTTTCCATGGTCTGTCTTCTTCACAGATCCATTCCTAAACATGTCAAATCCATGAAAACTTTTGGTTCTCTTACTGTTGAAACTTGAAAGGGTATAATGCGTGTAACAGGCGAAGTTTTCAGCTAATCTGAGGTTCCCGTTACATTTCTCAACATCACAAAGCTATTAAGTAATTGAAAAGACGCCCATACATCAGTTTACAAGAAGCAGTGGAACCCTTTAATCCCCAGAACAATTGGCAAATCCAGTGAGTTATGCTGACTGCATGCGCTGGTGTTTACTTGGATTGCAAGATACTTGGAATGAGCTTTTATTTGCTAAGCTTTTCGAACCCTGAAAGTTCATACAAGTGGAGAGACATTGTATTGATTATTTTGCTCTCAAAAGTACAGATTTCTTTTCCTGATTGATTCAAGGGCGGATTAGGAAATATATCATCTGCTGTGTTTCCACTATTGCAGAAACTAAATCGTGATCAAGCGTCACCAGCTAGTGTAATCTTTTAATTCCGAATATAAAAGAAATTTTGTCATCTCTCAATTGCTGAGTCTTTTGCATTCCTTTAGTAGATCAATTTTCAATACAAAATATTCTAGCCAATAATTGGCATAGGGAAAGAGAAAAAAATGGAAAAACGTGAAGACATTATCCTAAGGGAACTAAAGCTGATGTGTATAACCTAAATAAAATGAAACAGAAAAAAATAGGGTTAATTTCACAAATGTCACTGAAGTTACCTGAAAATTTCAAAACGGTCACTGAAGTTTCAAAGTTTCAGAAACGGTCACTGAAGTTTGAAATTTCTTTCAAAATGGTCACTGAATTTTCGGATCTTTTGGGCAAGTTTGAGGCAATTTTTCGACAACTTTCGACCACCAAAATCGCCGATTTCAGATACCGTTGGAAAGCCCACGATATCCTCTTCAATTACCACAAAAAATCTCCCCAAAACTCCAAGTGATTCTGTCGGAATAAATCCACGAAGTCGGCAACCGAAAATTGTGAAAATCTGCCCAGATTTTCAGATTTTTTGGGCAAGTTTGAGGCAATATTTCGACAACTTCCGACCACCAAAACCTTTGATTTCGAATACCGTTGGAAAGCACATAATGTCCTCTTCAATTATCACAAAAAATCTCCCCATAATTCCAAGGTATTCGGCCGGAATAAACCCACGAATTCAGCTACAAAAAAAGTCCGAAAATCTGCCCAGTTTGGGTAGCTGATTTCATGGATTTATTCCGGCCAAATCACTTGGAATTTTGTGGAGATTTTTTATGGTAATTGAAGAGGACATTGTGGGCTTTCCAACGGTATCCGAAATCAAAGGTTTTGGTGGTCAGAAGTTGCCGAAAAATTGCCTCAAACTTGCCCAAAAAATCTGAAAATCTGGGCAGATTTTCACAATTTTCGGTTGTCGATTTCGTGATTTTATTCCAGCCGAATCACTTGGAGTTTTGGGGAGATTTTTGATGTTAATTGAAGAGGACATCGTGGGCTTTCCAACGATATCCTAAATCGGCGAGTTTGGTGGTCGGAAGTTGCCGAAAAAGTGCCTCAAACTTGGCCAAAAAATCTGAAAATTCAGTGACCGTTTTGAAAGAAATTTCAAACTTCAGTGACTGTTTCTGAAACTTTGAAACTTCAGTGACCATTTTGAAATTTTCAGGTCACTTCAGTGACCATTTGTAAAATTAACCCGAAAAAAATAATATCTGCCCCACGAAATGGGGTCTGGACAGTGGACAACATTGAATTCGTCTAGAAGGAATTGAAAACGGGGAGCCTACATGGCTTTTGTTAAACAATATCTGATCACATGATGGGACACAGATGAATTCTCCGATAGAAAAGAGCCCGGGATGTCACTTCAACACCTTGGATATAACTTGTGAAGAAAGATAATGTGAAAATTATTTTTCCAAATAATATTATTGGTTGTCTTTAATTGCAAATTTGTATTGACTTTTTTTTTTACCGATCATGATATAATGTCAAAATTGGTCATCTCCAAACTTGATCTTGAGCTCCTTGAGCACGGGATCTGCATCTTGCCTTCTAACAGAAAATGCCCCGCCCTCTTGTACTCCGTGTATCGAGGTCACCATCTCATCTTGCTTCACACCTCGGCACAGAGACCTTGGCAAGATTGATAGACAAGACAAAGGTCAAACCTCCATGAGAACCTAATACTACCTATGGACTCTATATATCAAAATTATTTTTTCTACGTATTCATTTTCAACCATAAATTCACATAATAAAATATTCAGCCCATAAATCCAAACTTTGCTCGAACTTTTAACTACACATTCTTCAAAAATTCACTATTCAAAATATTGCAAATCCCAAATAATGGCCATCAATCAAGGGCTAATATTAGCCCTACTACTTCTACACGAACCAAGGAAAAACATTTCCACCACAAATTGTTCCAGGACTCTTACGTCCACATGGCGAACAAATCATTTTCCTTTAAAATATAAAACTACGGTTTTCCTCCGCCTTAGGTGAGGATTTTTTATTAATAAAAAAAAGTATTCCACCAATTTTCTCTGCATTACAATACCAATGCAACCTTCAGCAGTAATTCAAATATATATGGAGCCTTCATGGGATGTTTCCTAACTCACCGCCGAAGCGTAAATTTCGTTTCAAGGTTGATCGCCAATAATCGCTGTTCAAAGTTGGAAAAAAATTGCGAGTTTCATGATCAAAGCCCCATGGAAGAAAATTTGTGAACCACTTACAGAATGACATTAAATTTTGTGATCAAATCATTATTAGTACCTAAATTAGAACTCTAGTTCAAATTGGATAACAATGCATATAACTTATTGAATATCTCAATGGTCCAAACATTCTAAACCCCAACTCACACTTGCAAGCATGCATGTTACGAGTAAAGGAGCGCAAGTGTTTGACTTGCCAATCGAACAACGTAGTTTTCGTAAATAAAAGTCAATAATCACGAATCTGACAGCTCTCTCACTGCGTAAAATCGTGTTTTCGATGAGGAATGGCAAGTCGAATCAATTCGAATCCCATGAGGCAGTGGGGACGTATGGCATAAGAGACTTTATTGTTTTGTAAATAATTAAAGCCTTTGCTCCCCCACTTGCAAAATTCTTTTCTGAAAAAGTATTAACAAAATACACAGAAATTAAGAAAAGTATAGACGAGAGAAAATTATATAACAAGTTGGGTTCTGATAGTACAGCAAGTTGGTTGTCAACGTCAAGTTGGAGTAGCAGATTTTGATTCTTACATTTCCACAAATAAATTTAACAGTTGATAGATTTTTTTATATGAGTATTGGAAACCCCATAGGTGCCCTGCCATGGATATTTCCTTTGTTATCAATTGATGGTGATAGATTTTCTATCTTTAGATATTTATTGTCGTCGTCAAATTTTGCATGCCAGAATTTTAGCCAACTTTGCTAGCTAATTCTATGAATCCAACCACTATGATTATTCGAAAGATAGAAGATCCGAGGATGGTTCTTTGATTCTCAAGTTAGATGAGGTCATATAGAAATTTGATAGTAAAAAAAAAAAGAAACGTATATGTACTGAATTCAAAAAGAACTGTGCTAAAACTATTAACGACAACGTGCAATGAGTGCGCGTTGCTAAAACTATTAATAACAACGTGCAATGAACGTTGCTAAAAGGTTAATGGCAACGTTCATATGAACGTTGCTAAAACATCTAATGGCAGCGTGCAATGCACGTTGCTAAAACTAATCTACGGCAACGTGCATTGCACGTTGCAAAAAGGGTATATTAGCAACATTCATTAAAAAAAGTTACCAAAACTCAATTTTGTCAACCAATAGCAACATACACTTGCTGAATGTTGCCGTAGACCCCCTTTAGCAACATGCAATTGACGAATGTTGCCTTTTGCATGTTGCAAAAAGCTTTTTTTCTTGTAGTGAAAATACGTTCAATTCTTTTTATTTCCAATTACCTTTTTTTTCTCGATCACTAAATGATTGATTTAATAGTAACTTGTAACTTCTCTCCAGTCGAATTGTCTGCAAGAGATTTTTTTTTTTTTTACCTTTTAACTGTTCTATCTCAAAATAAATAAATAAATCATTTTGCATCTCTACCAAACAAATGCCAGTTACCATTGGACAATGTGGGATGTCGAAGTTGGCAAATTACTTGGGATATAACTTCTAGAATTTATATAAAATAAAGAAAATAAATCATAATTTTTCTTTAATAATAGATTAAATCATATTATTAAAAAGGCAAACTAATCATCTTTTGATGATCATATATTTTTTTTCAATTTCCTATATTCGGAAAATACATCGTGAATGAAAGATAAAAAGACTGATTATAACATGATACATGTCTATTATGTTTTGAGTAAATAATTGCCAATCTCTCCATTCATAATTAATTTATTTTCTTTTGATACATGAAAATCGAACAACTTCTCATGTTTTCATTATTTCCATAAAAAGATGGATTTATTATTATTATTATTTTTTTGTAATCAAACGCCAACTTTTTATTCAGCGTGCAAATTGTACATTAAAATCATGTGGTCAATCAGACCAAATCAAAATTTGAAAAACGAAAAGAGCTAGTTTCACTAGGACGTGTTCTACACATTTGCTGGAAAAACTCTACCGAAAGGAGAGTATTTAGCGTACGGCCAAGAATAGGCCATTCGATGGAGTGTACGTATTTCGAAACATATCTAATTTTAGGTTTCCTTCAAGTATACTATACTAATATTTCTGTGGATTCATTAAAAATACAAAATAATTTCCTAAGATTAGAGAGACACAGCTGCAGCAGGAAAGGATAGTTAATAATTATAGAAATTTAAATTAGAAAATCATCATAAATTACTATCACATTCAAACCAACCTCAGATGATCATTCACAATCTTAAATCAAAGTTGTTTTGGTTCATGTTCATGATCTACAATATAACAAATTCTGTTCATCGTAAAAGAAACCAAGAAATTAAGATGATTTACTGTTATTTTTTGCCAAACTTTCTGCGATCTGAGCCAGTGACTGTAAATTACACCTCACAATTGTATCAACAAATGCACAAGTTTCTTCCTTCGTGTTCCCTTGTGGTATATCAACAACGTAGGATTCCACCACCACCGTGCCGCTATTTCCAGCGCCACCCGCTGTTGCTTGGAGAGTAGTGACGGACCGGTAATTGTGCAGTCTATGATCGCCACCCACAACGCTGAAACTCATAACATGTTTCTCATCATCCAAGATTTCAAGCCTCTCAGTACTAGACGCCGCCGGTAAGCCTGACACCACGTGCACCTCCCGGAGCGTCCCCACGTGGCCATCACCGATCACGTGGCAGCTCTTGAGGAAGTGCTTGTACGCCTGCGGTTTGTCGAACCGTCGGACGACTGACCACACAGTTGCAACTGGCGCATCAATAGCCTGCACCACCGAGGAACAGCACTGGTTGGACGCCACCGCGTGCGTGTGGTGGTGCAACACGTTATCCGGGACAAAAATCTCGCTAGGTACCGGGATAACCCAGATGGGTGTCGATTGTTTCTGATGGAAATTCACGGTGGCCGTGTGACTAATTGGATTGATTCTATGAAGCTGAAGAGAAGAAGGCATTTTCTACTATTCTTCTCACTTTCTTGGATCTGTTCTAATGGGAATGAATCGTGAAGATGGAATGTGATGTTATATATAATAAACTTCCCAATTCATCTATACATACACACATATATGAAAGTGTATATATAGAGAGAGAAAATGAATAGAAATCTTTGTCTACTTGTAATAGTTCGATCTTTCCTCGGAGAAAAAAATAAACATTTATTACAAAGCTTGCGCCTATGGTGTTGGGGGTGGTGGGGGTGCAAGTGGGTGGGCAACTTGCATAGAAAATTAGAAATATTAGGACGCAGTCATAATTGAAATTGCCCCGAGACATGGGCTATAATTACGTGATCTGCCCGGGAGTTCGTTATCCTAGTTTTGTTTAAATTTAAATGACTGAAATACCCTTGGTGGGGAGGTTAATTCCTGCCGACGGGTAAAAATCTTGATTCAGTGGGACTGGGACATGTTGAGCACGAAGAAGAGATGGTAAGAGGAAAGGAGAAGGCCCACTAAGATTCAAGATTGATCAAACGGTCTGTCTTAAGAGGAAATCATATATCTTTTATGGTTAGCTTGTCAATTCTTACATAGTAATAATTTACTCAAGACATGACTAATTAATACTGTCGAAATATCTAGTATCTAAAATTTAATTATCATTACAATTCCCATTATGTCACCGCGACTTTAATCGATTCGAGCGACTCATTTTCCACATAGTTTAGGAAGAGAAGAACGTCTCTAATTTTGTAAATCGAAGGTGGAAAAAAGGGGATCAACGTGGTAAAAGGGTGGGGGAAACAAGTGGCTCAGGTGGATTGGGATGTGTAGGTGGTCGCGTAGAAAGGCTTAGGGGTGAAGGGGTTAGGTTTTTTCTTGCCTATTTATAAATAACTTTCAGTTTCATTCAAGTGCAAAGTTACATATTTACGAAAGGTTAGAGAATCAGCATGTTCAGAAATTTGAAGTGTTATAATTTAAGTATTTATAAAGAAATGGAGAAGGTAACTCTAATTTTTCTTGCTGATCAATCATTGGTAAATTTCATTTGCGGTCATTGAACTTCCATTGAAATCTGAATTGGATCATTAAACTTTAATTTATCATAATAGTTTCACACTATTTTAATTTTGTCTTCTTATTAATGAAAATTGCTTAATTGACTTTTGTACAAGAACAAAGCTTCTACGTAATCACCTTGTGAGATGTCAATTTACCAATATGCCATGTCATTAAATTTTTGAAGTACAACAATAATATGCCCATTAAAATTTTAATCTAAATACATTTCATAACCTTCGTTTTACCATTTTTTATTTGTTGAATGTCCCTTAGTGATGATGTGGAAGAAATTTACGGTAAGATTGCTAAGTCAGTCATTTTTGTCAGTTTTGACGATATTAATTGACATAACGTGATATGATACTAAAATTTAAAATTAAATTGAAGTTCAGTAATATAGTTAAGATGAATTCGCCTCAATTGATATTCTGCTAAAAGTTTCAATTATCGTGGATGAAATTTACTCAAAAACCACGTAATCTAGAAAATATTATTTTTCTAACACTTGATTAAAGTATATATATTTTTTGAAAAAGGGGACTCAATTGTGAATTGGCATCATTAGTAACATCCACAAGGTTTTAAAAATGGATGAATAGTCAAGATCATAATTAAATGAATATGAAGTTTGTACATTCCATCAAGTAAAGCATACGAACTAAGTAACAATATATATTTAAATATTGGAATTCAAATATCGACTATTTCTTGTCATTTCAATTCAATCACTTTAACAACGTCTAGATGCCAGCAGCCAAGCTGCTACAAGTCTACTGAAGAAAAATAGGCTCAACTAATTTTACAATTAATTGTTTGAATTTATATAAATTAATTAATGACGATGAATTTATTTCGAGCTGGGTGAGAATTAATATTCATATACTTTTATCGTGTTGGTAAATAAAATTGTTTTCTATATCTTAGTCGACGTACGTGATTTGTTACTTTTAAAAATTTGATTAAAAAAAAAAAAAAAACTTGGAGCTTTTGCTGGGTCAATAGATGACGTACAAAGTTGAATCAAATTATTCTATCTACCATCAAAGGCGAATGAGGTGACCTATCAAGAATTTCTTATTTGTTTTACTATTTTCTTTTTTTCCAAAGTCTGTATTCCAGTCTTAGCATAATGAATGATTTGTGTTCATACCTGCTACTGCTAGGTAAGTTTACGAAAAAAGTCACAACGTTCTCACTTTGATTATGAACCTCCAAATATTAGCAGAATATATGGAGATTAATTATAATTAATCATATATTAGCATATAAAAATTCCTATTGGGAAACAATCTCATAGAGGTTTGCCTCTTCTAATAGAATTTGACCTTTCTAAGAATTATATTTTCTAGTCACTTGTCGCATTCCACAATCAATGTGACCAAAAGCATTTTCTCAATAGGAAGTTCCCTTTGGTTTTTCCATCTCAATTTAAGTGATAGAAAACAAGACTGAGAATTTTTCTTTAATCTTAACTACTATAAAGTTTAAGAGAATGAAAAAGTATTATTCTTGCAAGGATTAAACTAAAGGCATGTTTGGTACATATTTTCATTTTCTACAGTAAATTAATTCTCATTTTCAACCACACATTCTTCAATAAAATAATATTTCTCATCACATCAATATTTTTTTCTTCTTTTTCAACCACACATTTCCCATCATATCACTATTCAAAAATCAAAATTTCCCCCAAAAATCCCTACCAAACACACTCTAAATGTACACAATCCATTACCTAATAGATTACACTTCTCTCACATGGAGGGGGGCTCACACACAATAAAATATTCGTGGGCCCCCCTCCATGTAAAGGGGGTGTAATCCATTAGATAATGGATTTGGTGTACATCTAGCACAACCCTACTTGCAATTGTAGTACGTTCTTCACTATGGTGAATAGAGAGAGAGAGGCTTGGCTCTAATATCAATAGCTACGAAGTTTTAGTCGCTTCAAATTTATAGTCAAATTATCTTTTAATAGTATCGAGATTTCATCTTTTCTATTTGAAATAAGGGTTTGTTTGATTGCAAATGTGGAAAATTGGTGGAAAGAAAATGTTTTACAGGGAATTGAATTGCATATAAATTGTTTTACTAATAATTGTAATTAATTGTGTTTGATCGGTATAATTTTTCACCTGAAAAATGTTGAAAGTTTGGTGTCCGTTTGGCTTCGTTTTTTACGAAAATTGTCCATTAAAGTGATAATTTTTTCTATAATTGGGTCTAGAATTTGTTCCAATTGAATTTTTTTCATACCGAATACCACTCGTTTGGCTTTGTTTTGCATGGAAATTGTCAATAAAAGTGAATTTTTTTTTTTTAACCATCGTGTCTATAATTTTTTTTCAATTGCCAAAAAAAAAAAAAAAACAAAAAAAAATTTACCAAGGAAAATCAAGAAAATGTGACCGTGTGGCCTCAAGTGGGAAAACCATTTCCCTAAAAAAAAACTTATCAAACAAAGGAAAACTTGGAAAATGGAAAACTTATTCCATTTTTCATGGAAAAGGTGGTGTATCAAACACAACCTAAGTCTCATTGGTATAACATATAATGAGTATTAACATCTTCTATTTCTAAGATATATTGATAAAAAGCTATTCTATTCAAGACCTTCAATTCTTCTCTAGAGAATACTTGCACAATAATTAAAACTCTTCAATCTATGATAGATATAACTTACAAATCTTTTTCGCAGTAAAATTCATTTATTAAAATCAACTCTGTTAAATTTAACAATAGAAAATTCCATCATCTCTAACTCCAAAAAAGATCTTGCATGTAACTATTTTATTGGAATATATCAGTTTTGGAGGTATCTATACCTAAATCAAAAGGCAAATGAGAAGTGCCCGCAACATTCTAGAGCTAAGAAATGTTTGCGGGCAGAATATGCAGTAAGGATACTAACTTTCAAAAGTAGAGAAGATTCAAGGTGTCTCCACTGCATACACACACACACACAATATTTATATATAATATTTAACATAGTTTATGATATTAAGATTTGAAGTTTAATTTTCAAAATGATAATCTTACAAAAGGAGTATCTCAATCCCTTTATTTTTATGATTATTTTGTCATTATTCTATGTTGGATTTACCTTATCATGCCATTGGATTGGGGTTAGTTTAATTAAGAACACTAACTTTGAAATTCAATTGCTCGTTTCGAGCTTTGAGATGAATCGATTTACTCATTTGATCAGTTTAGTGAATTCTAGAGCATGTTTGGCTAAGCTTAAAATTTAATTAAAATTGAAAATATAGTCGTTATTGGGTTTCACTCGTCTAATAAAAGTCAACAATAACGGCTAATTTTTCAATTTTAATCCGATTTTAATATCTAACGAACATGCCTTAAGTGTATGACCGGAAAGTAAGGAACTTCTTAATTATGTTCACCGTGAATATGAGATAACTTTATTTAGGGCGTGTTCGATCGTGCTTAAAATTCAATTAAAATTGAAAATATAGTCGTTATTGGGTCTCACTCGTCTAATAAAAGTCAACAATAACGATTAATTTTTCAATTTTAATCTATACCGAGCACGCCCCAAATCATATAATAGCTTCAAAAAAAAAAAATCACTTTCTTCATCAAAATTCAACCAAAATGTAGGCGAATATTCTAAAAACCTCATTTTATGTTAATATTTCAGTCCGACTCGAATGAGAAGAATTTGCATTATTGCATGAACTGCAATCTTAAGACGAAAAACACACAGATTGCCAAAAATCTTCCAAATAAAAACATGACATCATTGACAAACGTCTTCTAAACTAAAAGGCACAATCATTTAATTTTAAGACACAACCTATCATTTTTATATTTCTTTCTTCTACCTTTCGAAATTTATTGCTTTGCATGTAGTTCGAGGAAGGTACATTTTGGCCGTTGTTTTTCCATTACCTCTTTACTATTAAAAAAACAGAATCCCGAGAAGGGTTTCGACTCTTTTTACACTTGAAAACAAGAAACGAAGAAGATGTATACCCTATAATAAAATCAAATCCGGCTTTATTTGTGAGCTAGTTTCGTTTTAATTTATTTACTTTATGGTAGGTACAACTTTTACATCATTCCAATTTCGACGAATGACTTTCTTTTAAATTTGTCCATTTGCCATTTCGTCCATTAAAGTTAATTGATTGTTTTTTAAGTCTTAACACACTCTTCACATGTGAATATTGTCTATGAATATCTATCAACTTGTTATATCAAACCCTAGATAGAGTGACATCCCAATTGTTTCTCACCGACTGTATCATTATAAATACAACTTGTCAATTAACACTCGCCCACAGCTTCACTCATGAATTTCTTTACACTCTTCGAAATTCACTCCAGCTTAACTTTTGTCTAGTGGACGAGCCAAGTGGGAACTGTGGGTCCTAGACCCCACTGAAATTTGAAAAAAAAAAAAAGAGTCATGGCTCAAAGGTAGCTAGTTGGTTCCGATAATTAAAACGGATTAAACTGTCCAAATCTTCGGTAAAATGTGATGTGCAAAAGGGCACCTTTTTTTTTTTGGGTAAAAGAGGTCAATAAAAATGGTTTTTTAAGAAAAAAGGAAATAGAAAAAAAAAAAAAAGATAAAGAAAGTGGAACTTCTTCCTCCAACAACCTCCACTCCCGGTTAATACTATGATAAAGTGATAATACTGTGTGTGTGTGTGTGTGTGATAATTCTTATTTACGACACTTCTTTTACAATCCACTAGGTTGTTTAGTCAAGTAGGGACACATTATTACATATATATTGCATGTTGTTTGAATTGAAAAGTAATAATATTATCTAAATATAGCAAGAAATTAAAAACAAACAAAAATAGTAACTTTACGTGATATCAAATATTAAAAAAAAGGATAAGAAGTATATGTCATACAAACATTATTGAAGTTGAGCTCCTGTTTGAGCCACATTAAAATTTTCATTTTCATTATTCTACTCATTTTCAACCACACATTCTTTAATAAAATAATATTTTTCATCACATTAGTAACCTTTCCTTCTTTGTCGATCACGGATTCTCCATCAATCTACTATTTTAAAATACATTCTTCCAAAATAATGTAGTTCAAACACACACTGAATAACAAAAATCAAAAGGGTGTATTCAGTCTGCAGAGACCTGCTCCACATCAACATTGATAAAATTATACTATTTAAAAAAAGAAAGAAAGAAAAAATGGTAGCTGTATTCCACGTAGTCATCTAGATCAGCACGCATGAACGAAAATTTTCCAATAACCCTAGTGGCATTTTCCTAAGTATTATGGGATCAACTTGTGGCCGACTCATAATTTGTTTCCATTTGAGCATAGACATCCATCAAATATTATATTCATGGGATGACAATTTGCAAGGACCAAATCTTCTTAGTAAAATAAATTGTGTACATAATTATCAACTTGATCTGTACTGTACATTGTATGTGGAATCAAAACAATATCGATTCTCATTTGATTGTAAACGAAACTTAATAATTAAGATAGATAAATATTTTATTTAGTATCCAAGAAAGGTAGTTCGCCTGCTAGGTTGACTCATTATCCAAGCCAACAAATAGGTTAAATAATCAAAAGTTGCAGCTTTTTAGTCAATAAAATGAATCTAGTGGGTAAATTAAATACATGAGGGATTCTTTTGATGCAGTGCATTCGATAAGAGTGTTAGATTTTATGAAGATTCTGGCGCTTACTTTTTGTCCGCGATCATGTTCGTGCTATTGTTTAATATTCATTTAAACTAAGTAACGTAATACGTGACGAGAGTTTAAATGACTTTTGATTTTAAAAAAAAAGTGAAATTGATCAAATAGGTGTAAAAATCACACCAGTCAAATTAAGTTTCTTAATTTTCACTCGTGCTCGTACAACAATGGATACTGTATAGTATTCATTTAAACTAAGTCATGTAATATATGATAAGAGTACGAGAAAGTCTTTCTATAAAAGTTTGTATATGACGAAAATAAACAAATGAATAGTAGAAAACCAGACTTGTATGTGTAATGCAGCATTGGATCGACATTCACTGCTTTTTGATGTATTCATGTTTCAAAGATGGACATTTGAACATTTCAATAAGGGAGTCATGAGGTACAAAAATACTTTCATTGCTATAGGTTGGTGAAACCTTATTATTTCCAACTGAAGAATCCTCGAAAACCGCTCTTACATGTAATTATGTGACGGGATGTCCAATAAATCTATATTCTCTTCCTCTGTCTTGCCAAAAGTAGTGCATTATTATGTCTACGTTTGTAAGGTGGGAAAATGAGTTTTGAAATAGTGAATTTTTAAGTAACGTAATTAAAAAGTAGAAAAAAAATTGGATTTACATATAAAATATTTTATTGTGAGAATGTTTGATTGAAAATGAGTTTAAGAAAAAAAAATTGAAATACTGATAGATAAATAGGGACAAACCCTTCAATTCCTTTTCAATCAATAAACTCTATAATACCCATAAACAAATGTTGCTGTTTATTCCATAATTTTTCTTTGTATCAAATATGGTTAAATATTTCAATTATCACTGAACTTTTTCAAGTGTTTCTCATTTGTCATTCAACTTTAAAAAAATTACGAGTTGCCACCAAATTTTTATTCCATGAACAAATGTGATCTTCTTCACAGTTTGTTGAATCACGTTTAATTATTATGTTATCGTTTTTTACTCGGTTTCGTGTTTTCTTTCCACTGCGTTAGGCGATGATTCATTTACCCAACTATTACTATTGGGGGTTTTTTTTTTTTGCGAAGTTCAAACTGAGTTTATTTTAATATATGGAGATTGAGGCATTTTTCCTGAATTTCATACAATTTTTTGCTATAAATTGTAATTGTTGTAACATTCGTTTTGCTACCTCTCACATTCTTTAATCCTGTATTATAAATATTTATCAAAATTCTGTGCAATATAGAAACAATAATAATATTTATCATGTTTCTATTACTATAAAAGATAAATTCAAATTAGTGTCTCTTTAATTACCAATAGAATTTTTCTAACTAGTATAAATCATCTTTGTTTCAAGTTACTCGAAAGTCTTAACGTTGTGTAAAAGTAATTGAACATAATCTTGACATTAGTTTTAATAGAAACATATCTTCAAGTTTTCATGAATTCACATGTATAATTATCTTCCTTTAGAGCTATTACTCGACATTTTTTCCATTCCTTGAAGATAATTTTCATCATCTACGATGGAGAAATCTCCAACAATATGATTATTGAACATCGTGTGTTATAGTTTTGATTATCTCCAACACCTTCTAGGGTAGGCTGATATTTCCTCGTTCACTGCTTTCTTTGTTGCTTTTTGAGGTCAAGTCTACATCCCCCTTGACTCCTTCCATGCATTCTTTCTTGCAAGCTCCATATATCTTACAGTTAGGGCATCCTAACCCCATCATCCTTCTTTAGTGGAGTCTAAAACCTTGATGATTTATTTAAAAAAAGGGTAGGCTGACCTTTAGAGATTGTACATCTACTCCAGACTGCATTTAAGCACATGCGAGTTGCAACTGGAATGGTACACTGCTGAATATACTGTTCATCTTGCAGAACAGAATGATCATTTCTTGAATAAATATTAGAGTTTTCACATTGTTCCACCCGGATGGTAAAGAGTTCATCAAGAACACACAAGAAGCTAAAAAGGAAGGACAAAATAGTTTTGCATATCCAACTATTTATTTATTTATTTATTTTACACTGAAGAAGAATTTCACATTTTTTTCAAAATGTCTTTAGCTCCAATCATATTTGAAGCCTTCTCATTCTTCATTATCCGATGAAACAGTGCAGCTCGATCTTCTTCCACTATCTCCCTCAGCAGTTCATCCTCAATTTTCGGTGCTTGCCACTTAGAAGGGTCATCAACATGTTCTTCACTAAATATCATACTTGAAACCCACTCCTTCCATGTAGTTCGACCGTGTTTCTCTTCTTCTAGCGTGCCTGTGGCCAAAAGCTGGTACACGTACACGACTTTACTCTGACCTGGTCGAAAGGCTCGTGCAATTGCCTGCTTACTCTTTGAAGGATTCCATTCTGAGTCAAGCAAAATTACCCGTGATGCAGCAGTCAAGCTAATTCCTTCGGCGCAAGCAGTAATTGAAGCGAGCATAACCTTAGATGGTCCCCCTGGCTCCTCAAATTTATCCATTACCCGTCCACGTTCAAAAAGCTCAATGTCACCTTGAAGCACCAGCACTTCGCGACCCTTTCGCCACCCATAGAATCGCTCAAATATTTGTATAAACAGATTGATCGGAGCAATATTATGGCAAAATATGAGGAGCTTTTCTTTTCTTAGAAGACATCGAGGCAAAAGGCTCATAACAAATCTGACCTTTGAACCCGATCTCATGTCAAATTTGTATTGCTCAAGATCCTCCAACTCCTCAGGGCTGAAGTACTGACCAGAGCATGCTGTTGTTCTAATCAACCAAGGATGGATTGCCCCTAGTGTAATTAAAAGCTCCAATTCTAATGGAAATCCCTTGTATACAGGCCTATTATGCTGAAGCTTTACTAAGAGTTCTTGTTGAAGACTGGTGGACTTCATCATCAATGTGTAGCACTGTAAACCTGGGAGATTGTCAGAGCTTGAACCCTCGTGTACATCTATGAATTTACTAGTCAGCTTCTTCAATGTTTTTAGAACTTGGACTCTTTCTCCTTCTACATTTGAATCAATCTTCCTAGAAATTTTATCAATCAACAGCTTTCGTGCCCTATTCTCTAGTGAAAAGCGCGTCAGTTTATCTTTCTTTCTCTTCTTGTACTTCGGATCAAGCTCCTTCAGAACCTCATTGACGAATCTAGGCCTCGCTAATAGAAGAGTGTTAAAATATTCACCAAAATTATTCTGAAACAGTGTCCCAGAAAGCAAAACTCTCAGCCCTGTGTTGACCTTCATCAATGCTTTTCTAAGTCTTGATTTTGTACTTCTTGGGTTGTGGCCTTCGTCGAGTACCAAAATTCCTGGACACTGCTTCAGTAATTGTGCCATATATTTCCTATGAGCATAATTTGAATCTTCTCGGGTTAATGTTAAGAAAGAGGTGTAACCCATGAGCAGGATACTCGGATGAGAAAGCCACCTTTGCATCTTTTCTAGGCAGTCCACAACATGCATGACATCTTGGTTACGGGGCAAACCAGGAGCTAATTTCATTCTCTGCTTCAACACCTCATATTTATATGTTTGACCGCCATGGATTTGGTAAACTGGAATAGGAACTTCCCACTTAATGATTTCTTTATACCAGGTGTATAGTGTTGTCTTTGGAGCGAGGACCAGTGGCCTTGATCCAGGAAATAATTTCAAGTAACTCACAAGAAATGCAATGATGAGCAAAGTTTTACCAGCTCCAGGAGAATGAGAAATAACACAACCACCTCTTCTCTTTTTCTTTTTTTCCATTCTGGCTGGTATCAAGGACCCCGCAATATTTCGCCATAGAAATTCAAAAGCTCTTTTCTGGTGGGCTCGTAATTTACTTCCAAGTTCAGGTATCAAGGCCCAAACATTTCCTCCCCCTTCCGTTGAAGGAGCACTCGAAGAAGTAGGAATACTAAACTTAGCAACGTCACCATCTTCAGTCCGATTATTCTCTGAATCTTCTTCAGTTTTTTGCTCCTTATTTGAACTCAAATTTATTGTTGCGGACTACAAAAGGAAAAAAAAAAACAATTATACACATTAGAATGTCTGCAAATTGAAAATTTATCTACACTTGAAATTGTGGTAGAGAGACATCAATATATTGTCTAAGTAACCAAGGCCAAAAACTAGAACCAATTATAGTAGGCAACATACTTAATAGATAATTCATTAAACGTCGAATTTGACTTACAAAGGGTGGCAGTACATCCTTTATTTCAGTGTCTACATATCCGCATAATCGGCAAACTGTTCCAATTTGTTCATTGAGTCTGTAATCATGTTGGCAAATTTTTTCTACATTTTTACTTGACTTTTGCACTTCAGTGGCAGACTGAACATGAGAATCCTGTAATTTGCAAAGCAAATGACATAAAATAACCAGCATAAACCAACATTCTGACAATTACAAATAACACTATAATATAAAATGGTCCATAGTTTTCAGCAACATGAAATAGAACAATGAGTTAAATGTCACATAAAACAAGATTTTAATAAATATACCTCATTGGCGTCGAGGAGGTACCATGATGCCAATGCTAGTTCCATTTCCTTCCACAACATATCAATTTCTGACATTTCTTCTTCATTGTTTGTTGAGGGTTTCTCATCTGGTTCTTTTTTATTTGAAGATTTTTCCGTCTGGAACTCTTTCCACTGATCAACTACCGGTGGCTGTTCCTGTTCATTTTTGAGAGTGGCATCTATATTTTCCATGCATCTCTTAATCATCTCCCTGCAGACCTGTGCACTTACAGAGCCTTTTTTGAAACTTCTCACATCATAAATGCTCTCCCTTATATAAAAGCAGTCCCTCTTATTAAAATTGTTTCTCTTTGTCTGGTGCTTCCTATAAGAAATATCCTTTCTACTACCTCCACTTCCCGCAGCCACGAAGTCTGAATCAGATACTTTCTTTCTATGAAAGGTTGGAGAACCATTTCCATAGAAATTCAAAAAATAATCTCCTATTTCTTTTGGATGATCTCCTGACTTTGCAAATTGAGGATTCTCTTCTTGGAGAAGTGAATTGGTTAGTAGAGGAATGATGGCAAGTTGGTTTTCCTGGGCTCCTTTATCTCTTGAAAATGATTGTTGTCTTGGATTTTTGGATGAACCTGCTTTGAAATTGCCGGTACATAATAGGTTATTTTCACTCGACACTCTTTTATCGGAACAAATCCTGTAAGCATCACCATGTTTCTGGTATTCATTATCAGCCTGAACTGATAAAGCCAATGGCATTTCATCATACTCCCATGAATACGTCTTTCTTTCACCTAATCGAGTCACCTCTATTTCATAAGGATCATCACAACCTATGTAACGTTCTGGCTGTACGTTTCGACGCTTTGACCTCCGCAACTCCATAAGATCATAGTAGGACATAGGTAAAATCTCCTTTCCTTCGGGATCCGCTTCAAGACTAGCTGGAACATATTGAATGACTATGGGGGTCAAAATTTCATTTTCCACCTTGAAATTCACGGCATAAGAATCATTGTGAGGATTTGGTTGATCTTTGTCATGATTGCTATCCCAAATCTCATAGACAACATGGTTATGTATTGATCTTACATCAAATGCTGTTTGTTTCAGAATAGATGCAACAAGAAGCCATGTAATTTCAGCAGAGAATTTTCCATTAAACAACTTATATTGTTGCAATGAAAAAATGTCCTCGGAGGAGCCCCAACGGTAATATTGAGTTTCACAAGGCATCAATTCGAGCTTTTGAAGAACAGAAATTTGATCAATGTTTACCGTGCATATTTCTTTACCAAGTTTTTTGTCCACCATAAGACCAGGGCCTTGGTTGATGTAGAAGCTGACATAGAATTGGCAAGTACATGCAATATCATGAGGTTTCCTCTCAATAGATCTTATTTTGGCATCAATCCAAACCTATGCCACAAAAAGACAGGTGAATGAGCTCAATCTTCCAACCCCAATAGATGTATTGCGTAAACTTATTTTTCAAAAAATTAATATTTAAGTACAACTGAAGCAAGATGGAAAAGTGAGCATTGAAGAAGAATCTAAGTAATATCACAAATCCATTCTATTTATTTACAAAAGACGTGCAATTTATAGTGGAAAATTCCAAGTTTTTCTATGGGATTTATTCCTAACTTTTTGGCCTTAGTTTTCCTGATTTAAATCCCTTTTCAATGCAAGTTTACTCGTGGAGATTAGGATAGGATTTGATTGTATAGATAATATCTATGCATCTTTTTTCGTGTTCTAGTGTCTTGGATTTAAAAATCTGTTTCGCAGCCTGTATTTTTAACATACAATAGCATTTCGTGATTAATGTGGCAAATCTACTTTGATTCTCTAGGAACCAATAATGTGGGACTGTTAAGATGGTTAAAGCAAACCATTTGTAAATAGGCTCGTGTATTTTTCTACATATTTATATAACAAAAAGTGAAACTTTTCTCTCTAAATGACTTAACTTTTCATCCATCTTTCATTTATATTGTAAAATTTCTACAGCACTAAAATGTTTATGAAAATGAAACTTTTATTTCCTCTGCTCTCATACAGATTCTCATATGTAGATATATTTAAGAACTCTATCAACCAGATAAAAAAAATTATCTATTATTTATTAACCCAACAGATATCACAACATGGGAAAAGTTTTCAGGCAAATAATGGCTACAAAGGTAGAAAGATAAATCAAGTGAGCAATGTGCGTATTACAATTGTCATTCGAAGAAAAGTAGATGACCAATTTCCTTGAAAATAAATTATTTGCCAACACATAACCCAAGGCAATGAGTGGTTTAGTGCACGCAGAAAGAGAAGTCAAGCGAGCAATGTGCATATTAAAGATTGTCATTCGAGGAAAAGGAGATCACTAATTTTCTTGAAAATAAAATATTTGCCAACATATAACCTAAGGCAAGAGTGGTTTACTGCATGAGTACTTGTACTTGTGCAATTAAGAGGAGCAACAACATGAAATATTGATAAAGTGTGGTGATTTATAAAAAGCTCAATCTTGAGACTTTTAGTGCATCACAATTAATTGATGCAGAAAAATTATTTATCAAGATATGAAGAATATTTGTAAAAGAACTCTTAACTTAAGTTGAAAGATAAAAGGAGTGTAATTGTAGTAACTCAGTAAATGAGATAAAGATATTCAGTTGTGTTAACGTGAGTAAGAACTCTACCCCAAAATACACGTATAAAGCACTTTCATCAAACATAAGGACAAATGCAGGGTAACTATGCAGAACCCCAATTAGATTGTCGTCCAATTAACAGTAGATGAAACTTACTGGCTCTTTTTTTTCTTCATCTGAACGTTTCGAGTACTGGGGGATGAAGAACACACATATCTCAACTCCAGGTCTCAGAAAGGATGTACAGTCATGGCATGTTGCTTTTCTCGACTTTATTCGAAGATGTGACATAGGAATGTCCTCCTCGGTAACCACTCCATTATCATCTATATGTACAGTAATATCTCCACCACTAATTCTCAGGCGTTCCACTGATTTCCATGAGCCACACCAAAATGCCTCAAAAGCTACCAGTTGACAAAAGAATGAATCGATGTTACAAGTCGAAGCTTAAGTCACTTGTATTGCAGAAAGATAAGGTCAAAACACAGTTTTCAATATTAGACGGAGAAACAATGTGTATTAATCAACCAACTGCTTCGAGCAGCTCAAAAAACAGGTTCCAGTAAAACATTTTGCAACTGTTTGTGCAAAGGCATTTTCAACTAAAATGATATACTTCATCAGAATATTCATAACTAATGCAGTGGTTTGCGTGTGTAGCTTTTTGCATATTAAGATGATATAAACCAGAAACACTATCTTTCTCCAGCCAAGTAATAAGTGGAGTTACAAACACCTCAACTCAAATACGCATTCGTCCAGTCAATAAGTCTAGGCTCTAAAGAGATAGCACCTCGTACGTGACTTCAATACCACCTATAAGCACTCAAGCTAAACCCATGGCTTGACAACATAGTGGGCACTGATCAACTATCCTAAAGTGCTTAAGCCCTTATTGACAAGCAGGAGATACCAAAACCTTCATAAATTATTTAGATTATGCTTCCAAAGCGTACATAGGATATCATCTTATAAAGAGTACATCACATACTATGACGCCCTATAATTACTTAAAAATTTATGCATTGCCCTAAGCACTATCACTTATTAGTCTCTCATCCTATTAAGCTTCAATGTTGTAGTGATGTGAAGCATACAAGAATAGCTACTTGCTCTTGTGCTTTCTGAATTTTGGAAATAAGTTGCAAACTGTATCAAGGTTTAATTTTATAATTTCTCACACTTATTTATGTCGATCATTTTATATCAGTGTATTTTTCACTTCATATTATGATAAAAATATGACAAATTATCATAAAAAATTCAATTTCAAGTAATTGACACATGAAAAAGTACAAAAGATTAACTAAATTGAGAATCAATAAATGTTCTAATCAACAAACAAATGAAGTTCAGGGAAAATGTAAGGAAAAACAAGTGAGGAAATTCTTACGATGTGGATCAAACGGATGCTTGTATTGATGTAATTGCTTCCTCTTCAGCATGGCTAAGGAATCCCAACCTTATCTTATTGAATGAAGAAACAAGCAATCAGAGTTGTGCCCTGCAATATTGTCAAAGAAGTTACTTTACAACTAAGCATCTGAAGAGCTACGGATATTAAATCCTAAGGTACTAAAGTTACCTAAGAGACCGATCCCTCCCAAAGGAATTCGATGATATTAACTAAATCAAGATAGGATTACACTTTTATATATATATATATATAAAAGACAAAATTGACACGTTCATGAAACTATAAAAATTGCATTAGTATATGATCTCTAGACATCTAATTATATATAGGAAACATATACAGTAATATATATGTACAGAAATATTACAAACCTAAATATTTTTATTTAAAAGATTTCACAACCTTTTCAACTGACATCACCTCAGAACCACCACATAACCAACTCAACTATAAAAATATCAAAAAATTCATCCCTAGACCAACATAGAGTCCACAACCATGTCCCCTGTATCACCTTTACCTCACCACATACCTTACTTCATTACTTCAATTCATGGAGGTTTGTTAGTGATGGATTCACAAAAATTCCAGCATGTAAGACGATGAACTCCATCGGGGGCAATGAACTTGCTTAATTTAAAACTAGTACTGTCTATTCCTAATAGCAATAACAAATTCAGAGTTGCAGATCTGTGGATCAGGAATTATTTGCAAAATGCAATAGACAAAGAAAACCAAAATGTAAGAGAGGTTTTTGCTACAAATAAACAGAGTGGGGCCCTTTTAAAACTGGAGATAGGACTAATTTTTGGTAGCAGGTCATCAAAAATCAATCAAAACACAGCATAACACAAGGGACGACATATGAATAGCCACAGCATTAGAAATTGTCACTAGCATACCTCATCACATAAAGAAAAGATATATAAATTTCATTTACGAAATTCAAATGGAAACTATAGTGCCTTTTACCGGAAACAAAAATCAAAATAGATATACATCAATATATGATATATTACGAACAGAGTTTGAAGGGGAGAGCCAACAGAATATATGTGAATACTTTAGACTTTAATAAAACCAACAGTTTTAAGGTGACGTACCAGAGGTACACCATTTAGCATTTGTTGTCATTAAATGAGAAATTGTGCATGTTAAATGGATCGAGTAGGTCACAGAACAACAGATAAGTTGGAACTGAACCCTACATAGATTTTAAGCAATAAGGCTAGAGCCTGGTCCTCGTAGAACTGACATCATATTTATTTCTATATGCAGAAAGGAACATAAATCACGGCCGCGGTACATATTCTCATCATGATTAAGAAATACTCTAAAAAGAATGGTAGTAACTGCCTTCAAGAAGTTCATAATAATCTAGCCCTCAGTTTAATGGTTGTATAAAGAACTGTAGATAGATGTCTGGAGACTATTTGGTCTAAGGTTCAAGTCCGACTTGTGATGGTTTATTTATTTTATTGCTGTCACTTATGCAGAACTATTAGGATTTAAAACTATTGGTACAAGTCTTGTACTTTAATCACCACATGAAATATTAACAAATAAACATTTACTCACTCAAAAAAATAGTTATTTTCATGGAGATACTGCATGATCCTAAGACCAAACTCACATGACAAGTATGAAATCAAGAGTGCTGCCTCTTCATCCCACAAGATGAAGTAGATGCAGTTATTGAGATGCACCAAAATGACTGACAAGAATTTAAGAGGGTACCTACCGGATTTCAAAGCAGCTGTAGAACTTGAAATTTTAAAAAAAATCATGTGTTTGCATATAAACTTGAGAAATGCTTTCAACACTCCCTGCATTATTAAAATAAGAAATTTTGCTGACTACATGTGTCCATTATTTTACGTTTACACGTAAAATTGACAGATGGGGACTAAGAAAGGACGTGTTTGAAGAACTATAAGTACGTTGATATACAAAGGCAAATGCCCACAGGCCACAGGGGCAGGGCAAGGCAAGGCAAGGAGGGCGGCCCCCCAAAGTTCTGAAATTTTTTCATTGCAACCCCTAACATTTTGTAGAAATTTTGCATCGACTCCTTGACTATACAAGTTTACCCTCCCTTTCGTCCCCCATCGTTACAACTCAGGACTTATAATGACCTTATTCATGGGCTCAAAACTATTGCCTTCCATTAACATTTTCAATGTCCTCTGGAATTAAAAATACAGAAAGTTAGGTAAACACATGTAGACAATTAAAAGTATGTACACATAGTTTGCAACCTTTATTAACGCATACAAGCCTGGTAGCTGGTAAAGAGAAATTTTTAGAACGTTTACAGAAATGATAAGGAATATTCGTTCCAAATAACATGTTCAGTTCACACCAAATATGTTTAGGCTTTTCCAGAAGGTATGCAATGACAGCACAAAATTTTGCATTCTTACCAGTAACTGGAAAATAACACTGCCTTTTCATTTCAAACCACTCATTAATTTTATACTAAGTTTCTTTTTAAAGCCATACAGCTGCCTTTTACCTATAGATTCTTTTTTTGTGCCTTTTTTTATAATTCGCTTTCTAAGTCTAAGCCAGAAATGAGGTCGCAAAAGCAGATATACTCTGTGCATGAAGTGGAAAATTGAATATATTCCACATTAATCAAAATTACCCAAAATTTACCAAAGAAAGACACATACTAAGTGAAGCTCAATTTACCGGATTTTGATAAAAATCATATCTTGATTTCTTGAGCTCGAACCCAGAATGATCAACACGCACACATATTGTGAATCTTTCCCCCTACAAAATCACAATTACACGAAGCATTAAAACAGTAGCCAGTAAATTTTCAAATGCAAAGCAAAAACAAAACCCAGAAACTAATTCGGGTGACAAAAAAAGCTCAAAATTAACCGATACTCAGAAACACATAATTCAGAACAAACTGGATTTTACTTAAGAAATTAATCTCCGGCGAGAAAATTGGTGCCGGCCAGATAATTTGCCATCAAAATGCAGTCTACGGGCTGATTAAATAGAGCTAAGAAAGTGAATAGTGGGAAAAAAGAGTAAATGAGAGGTTACTGACTAGTGGGTAGGAAAAATCCACAAGGAAAAAGACTGAGAACCTGGGAGTTTGTGCTGAGTGTCTGCCTTTCTGCATGAAAACCGGAAAAAGAGGACGGGCTAATGAAAAAGGTCGTTGAAAATCACGCAGGGACTCGAATGATAAATGTGGAGATAGGCTGAGGTCAATTTGGGAAATCAAAAACGTAGGGTGATGATTTTGTACACTTTTGGATCTAACGGTGGAGATGGGATAGGGTTTGCTGAATTGTGTGCATGTAAAACAGGTGTATGAAAAGTTCCACTTGGACCCCCAAGATGCTAATTTAGTGGGGATTCTTGAGAAAATTGAGGTGGTCCCAACTCCCAACTACTAAGGACCTGTTTGGCAGAACTTTGAAAAATCAAAAGTTACTTCTAAAATTAAGAATTACTTTTGACCATGTTTGAATAGATGGTAGTGTTTTGTGATTTTGTCTGATAAAAAGAATTTTTAGAATAAATTTGCCGTTCTCGAAAAGTTTTTCTACAAGAAGCAAAAACTCGGCCAAACGAATCTTAAATCTGCTTTTTTAGAATTTATTATGAGTCAGTACAACTCAGCTACCTATTATTCGTAGCTCACTGATTGGGCTTTCATTTGCTCTTATGGGCTATAGTTGGAAACCCTAGGCCTCTTTAGCATTGTAACAGAATCAACAAATATAATAATATAATTTTGATTTTATTAAATTCAAGAATGGTCTTCATATTATTATCATAAAATCAATTATTAGTTTAATCAAAAGAAAAATCAAATCCCCCAAACAAAACCTCTTTTTCTGTAGTGAACCAACTCTTTACATCATGAATAAGTGATGATGTAACGTAATTGTGCAACATGTAAAGTTATCTCTTGGCATAATGGGAAATTCACAAGAAATGAGGACATCTATTGTATTCGCATTAGACTTTAACAATTTTTAAATTGTTGATATATTTGTTGAACGGGTTAATTTCACTAATGGTCACTCAAGTTACATGAAAATAACAAAA